TGGCCGACGCCAAGACGCTGAACAAAACCGTCGCCTACGTGCAGTCCACCGCGAACTTCGCGATCGTGCTCAAGCGGAACCTCGTCGACCTGATGGCGTGCACTACCGTGTGTTTCAGCGACGCCGCTTTCGCGAACATGGATGGGGTCAAGAGTCAGTGGGGCATGGTGACGGGGCTCACGCATTGTCCTTGGGACGTTGTCGGAGGCCGGTTTGACCTGTGCTTGCCCGTGGCCTGGCATACAGGCACAGTCAAGAGGTCGGTGAAATCGACTCTCGCTGCCGAGGGCTGCGCGACCCTCGAGGGAGCGGAAACCAACACTTGGTTTCGCCAGCTGCTCACCGAGGACTGTAACCCCTAGGAGAGACGCTCAAGATGATCGACGAGCTCGCGGATCAGCGACCTGGGGAGATTTACAGCGACAGCAAGGGCCTCGTGACGCACATCCAATCTGATGTGGGCCAATCTACGGACAAGCGGTTCCGCATCACCGCCTCCATGATCAAGAAGGCCATTCATCCAAACAACGCCCTGCGGCTCAACTGGATGCCTACGTGGGCCATGGTCGCGGACGCCTTGACGAAGACGGTTGAGGCTGGCGCGCTGCTCTCCTTCTTCGGCGCCCGCAGGCATACCTACGGCACCCGACAGCCGCACGCCACCATGCTCGCCTCGGTTTTGTTCACCTGCCTCGGCAGGGTCAAAGGGCAACCTACACCATCGCCTACTCCGCCTAACGACTTCATGCTCTACTGTTGCACGTGCTACATGACCTGCTTTGCCTTCTTTCTCGGTATCATCCTCGGGTGTGGCACATTCGTACATCAGTCTGTGGGCGATCTCGAGGCAGAATCATTTGCTCTCGCCGTGCGGCCTCCGCCACCTAAGGCAAAAGACGGTGACCATGCTGGTTGGAACGGACGACGTCTGGGCAGGCGCAACCACTTAATGAGACAGCCGACCATCCCAGAAGAGCAAGATCAAGATGGTGACATCTACATGCCGCCCGTGGATGGTCATGGCAGTGGCCAGGCATCAAGCTCGTCAGCAGCCAGCGCCAGCGCCATCTCGCTGCAGCCGCCGCCCCCGCCACCTGTGCCGGCAGAGCCACAGCCTGCGAGCTCACCGCCTACACCGCCACCGGGGATTGGATCGTCAGCGCTGACCTCACCGAGCGCGGTATCAGTCACCAGCTCTTCGAGTACGAGCGTGACCTCCTGGAACGGATCGACGCCTACGGTCGCACCGCTAGAGATGAACCCCTGTGCGGTGGCAGAACACAAGTTTCGAGTCGGACACAACCGCCACAACGTCTACGTCACCTTCAAGACCTGCCGGAAGCACGCATCCGCTCCTGCGCACCTATCGAGATCACGAGCCTGACTTCTTGCATGTGTACTATACGCTGAGGTCGGAGTTGAAGCATCGCTGGAGGCAGCTCACAAGTATCTACCCGACTATGAAGGGCAGCAAGGCTGCAAAGTCTGAATGAATGACTTCCCCCGCTGCTGCGTCTCTCATGTTTCTTTGGCAGATCGCAAAGCGACCCACATTACGTAAGTCCGCATTGCACTGTTTTGCCGTGTTTCTTTTGACGGTTGCACGACGATCCCTCTTCTACGTAAGTCCGCATTGTACTGTTTTGTCATGTTTCTTTGGGCGGTCGCAAGACGACCCCTCTTCCACGTAAGTCCGCATTATCCTTCTGTTTTCCAGATTTTACCTAACAGCGAAGACTGATAGGTTTCTAGTTGACTCAAAAGAGCTCACAGATCACTCCACAAGGGGTCCGGGCAGGTGTTGGGGAGTTGCCGGGCGGCAGGGTGCCGGGCTCGTTTTTCACCAACAGTCACACACTTCGTGCTCTTCGACTTCCCAGAACTCCATTCCCAGGCCACATTCTGAATACCCGGATGCAACAGTCACACACTTCGTGCTCTTCGACATCCCAGAACGCCATTCCCGGGCCACATTTAGATAACCGGATGCAACAGTCACACACTTCGTGCTCACTTCGTGCTCTTCGAATCCCAGAACTCCATTCCCGGGCCACATTTTGGATGCCCGGAGCCAACTGTAGGCCACTTCGTGCTCTTCGAGTTCCCAGAACTCCATTCCCGGGCCACATTTTGAATGCCCGGAGCCAACTGTAGGCCACTTCGTGCTCTTCGAGTTCCCAGAACTCCATTCCCGGGCCACATTTTGAATGCCCGTAGCCAACTGTAGCAACTTCGTGCTCTTCGACTTCCCAGAACTCCCATTCCTGGGCCACATTTTCAGCAGGGGCAAGAGCACGACGAGGGGGAGGACGAGCAAGACCAGGAGGACGAGGACGAGCAGGAGCAGGACGAGGAGCAGGAGGAGCAGGAGAAGAAGGACGAGCAGGAGGAGGAGGAGGACGAGCAGGAGGAGGAGGACGACCAGGAGGAGGAGGGAGGGAGGGAGGAGGGAGGACCAGGAGGAGGAGGAGGAGGAGGAGGAGGAGGAGGAGGAGGAGGGAGGAGGGAGGAGGAAGAGGAGGAGGAGGACGGAGGACGAGGACGAGGAGGAGGAGGAGGAGGGGGGGGGAGAGTACCAGGAGGAGGAGAACGAGGACCACCAGGAGGAGGAGGAGGAGGAGGAGGAGGAGGAGGAGGAGGAGAGAACACCAGGAGGAGGAGGACGAGCAAGACGAGGAGGACGAGAACGAGGACGACCAGGAAGAGGAGGAGGAGGAGGAGGAGGAGGAGGGGAGGGGGAGGACTACCAGGAGGAGGAGGAGGAGGAGGAGGAGGAAGAGGAGGAGGAGGACGAGGAGGAGGAGGAGGAGGAGGACGAGGAGGAGGAGGGGGGGGGAGAGCACCAGGAGGAGGAGAACGAGGACCACCAGGAGGAGGAGGAGGAGGAGGAGGAGGAGGAGGAGGAGGAGGAGAGAGCACCAGGAGGAGGAGGACGAGCAAGACGAGGAGGACGAGAACGAGGACGAGCAGGAGGAAGAGGAGGAGGAGGAGGAGGAGGAGGAGGAGCAGGAGAAAAAGGAGGAGGAGGAGGAGGAGGCAGGCTGAGGCTGAGGCTGTGACTGCGACTGCCGTTGCCGCTGCGACTGTCATCGCGAATGCGACTACGACTGCGAGAACAGCAGAATTCGACAACTGGATTTTCATCTGAATCTTAAGGGGAATGCTTTCAAATATGCTTCTACACATCGCTGTTAGGTTGCTTTGCCGGGATAATTTACCTAAGAGCGAAGACTGATAGGTTTCTAGTGGGGTCAAAAGAGAGCATCATGACTCCTCAGGGGGGTCGGGGCGGGACCCGGGGCGGGACCCGGCGCGGCTGCCGTCGAAACCCAAATCGCCTGGGACATCCTCGCAAAATCGCTCTTGGCGCTGCTAGAACTCCATTCCCGGCGTACATTTTGGATGCCCGGAGCCAACTGTAAGCCACTTCGTGCTCTTCGACTTCCCACAACTCCATTCCGGCGTACATTTTGGATGCCCGGAGCCAACTGTAGGCCACTTCGTGGTCTTCGAGTTCCCAGAACTCCATTCCCGGCGTACATTTTGGATGCCCGGAGCCAACTGTAGGCCACTTCGTGCTCTTCGAGTTCCCAGAACTCCATTCCGGGCTACATTTTGGATGCCCGGAGCCAACTGTAGGCCACTTCGTGCTCTTCGAGTTCCCAGAGCTCCATTCCCGGGCCACATCTCGAATGCACGGAGCCAACTGTAGGCCACTTCGTGCTCTTCAAGTTCCCAGAACTCCATTCCTGGGCATGATTTTGAATGCCCGGAGCCAACTGTAGGCCACCTCGTGTTCTTCTAGTTCCCAGAACTCCATTCCTGGGCCACATTTTGAATGCTGAGGCAGGCTGATGCTGCGGCCGAGGCAGGCTGAGGCTGAGGCAGGCTGAGGCTGAGGCCGAGGCTGAAGGCAGACTGAGGCTGAGGCTGAAGCAGACTGAGGCTGAGGCTGAGGCAGGCTGAGGCTGAGGCTGAGGCAGGCTGATGCTGAGGCAGGCTGAGGCTGAGGCTGAGGCTGATGCAGGCTGAGGCTGAGGCAGGCTGAGGCTGAGGCCGAGGCTGAAGGCAGACTGAGGCTGAGGCTGAAGCAGGCTGAGGCTGAGGCTGAGGCAGGCTGAGGCTGAGGCAGGCTGAGGCTGAGGCTGAGGCAGGCTGAGGCTGAGGCTGTGACTGCGACTGCCGTTGCCACTGCGACTGTCATCGCGAATGCGACTACGACTGCGAGAACAGCAGAATTCTACAACTGGATTCTCATATGAATCTTAAGGGAAATACTTCCAAATATGCTCCTACATATCGCTGTTAGGTTGCTTTGCCGGGATAATCGCGTAAATCTGCGTGCTAGCAGAAAGCCCCATGTTCAGTGTGCACAGTACATGTGTGTGGTGACGACCACACCCATGTATCCTTGGATTTCTCTCATCACATAATGCTAAGAACCTGAAGAGCGCCCACCGCGCCGAGATGAACATGTGTTTTGTTTTTTTCAAGTTTGTGCAGCTCACCCAATAATAGCCCGAGACTCCCTGGTGCAAGCCATGTCAAGACCTTTAGCCTGCCCCTCTCGCGTGAGAAGTGCCGTGTCCGGCAATCTTGCCGATGCCGAATTATCTCGAACATTCGATCCGAAGTAATGAAATTGCGACCGAACTACGGTGTTCGTCGCCCCGGCTGCCCGTGGCGCCAAACAGGAGGAGTGTGGTTTCGGTCGATTCGATAGCATGTCGATCGCCCTTCCGCCGATCTTCCGCATATTTCTCTGCTCTCTGCGTGTGCTGCTCCTATCCCGCTCTCCCGCTATCATTTTTGCTCAATCTACTGCATGGCCCTTGGCCTAAGAGCCACGCAGATCGCTCGAGCCGCGCTTGCTTTCGAAAAAGCCATCGGTGCTGCGCACCATTCCATATCACACAAGGTACATGCCGAGGCACTCGAAGGTGAATCACAACTAGCACAACGATTCCAAGCACACAGCAAAAGAACGAAGTCAAATGCAC